CTCTCCATAAAAGTATATGTGCTCAGGAGGGTGGTTTGGGGAGGCCTCGTCACTTCAGATTAGTCTGTAGCAGGCGTATCCTGTTTTCTAGGAAAAAGAGGATTTTGTGGCCAGCTTTGTTAGAGAGGCATTGAAGATTTTTCTTTGTGTGCCTTTGCGTTTGAAGTTTACAGGCGGGTAGCTGCAGACTCTCTAGATGTTCTGGTTACACGGATGACACTTATTTTTAACCTTATTTTTATTAGAGGTTTGTATCATGTGGGCCTGGCCAGCCCACAGGAAGGGCTAGAAACTTCTTGTAGGAGGGATAACACTTCCTATCTCTGTGTAAACAGCAATTCCTCCCAGATGGGAAAAGCCAGCCCAGCTGTGAGGGAGGTTGGGGCTGTATTCCCACATATGGCAGCAGGATGAGGCTCTCCCACAGCAGGGACAGACCTTGCTTCCAGCAGCCAGAGCCCTGTTGGGTGGCACAGCTCTCCCCAGGCTCGGGAGAAGTGCTGGGCATGGGAGAGCTGCTCTGGGGAGCCGTGGTGGGGAGCGGCTGGTCTCTGGGAGCTGCGATGGAGCAGCACTGGTGGAGCTGGTGGAGAGGCAGGTGGCCAGTGCAGGGCTGGGGCGAGGGCTCAGGCCATGAAGAAGCTCATGGAAGAGGAGGACACATCCTGTGGGTCATGATCCTATGGGGTCTTGCAGTGAAGAATGCTGGGCAGTGAAAATGATGTTACTGCAGGCTGGGAAAGAGCTGCTGAGCTGTGTGTGCACCGACATGGGAACCCCAAAACCTGAACCCAGCAGGAGCATCACAACTGACTTCAGCTAAAGGAGAAGTTCCTCCTGCTCCCAGCCCCAGCTCAGGACTGTCTGAGGTGATTTAATGGCACTGGTGCTCGTCCCTACTGCGAGGAGACTAAACAAGAACTCAGCCATTACTGAGACCTGGGAATCTGGGACCCACAGATCTGGAGGTGACAAGGTTGCACTGCTGACAGCTGTAGGTAATTACACGTTTGCTCCATCACTTTATTTGTGGAAGGTCTCCAGGCATGCTGCTGTGACACCTGGAGCAGGACCTTCCTCAAAGCCTTGGGTGCAAAGTGAGAGACGGGAGGTGATGGGAGACAGAGCAGAGCTGCAGGCAGGGAGTGCTGTTGGTTTGCCTGACCAAGAGAATTTTAGGAAGCAATTTGAAGTGGGGGAACTGGGTGGACAGAGAGGAGCTGGGCCTGGCACCATAACCCAGGTGCACTTCAGAAAAGGCAGTGGCTTGAGGAGCCTTTGGTGAGGAGGAGGATTGAGAGTTGGGAGTGAGATGTGATGCATGGGAGGGCTGGCACGGTCGCTGGGGAGCATGTGAAAGATGAGGAGTCATTTCTGATATGAATGGATGTTGCCAGTCCCAGCTGTGTGATAGTGACAGGGAATGGCTTCCTCAGCTGGCTGGTCCAGCTCCATGGATTTGAGATGCCAGCCAGGTGGGGGAATGGTTCCTGCTGGAATGATTTCTTGCAGAAGCTGGGCAGCCCAGCCTTGCTGCCGGTGGGAGTTCCTCCATCAGGGGGAGGGATGTGGTGTGCAGAGGACATGCCACCTAAGCCCATGGGTGGCATCCTTAGGGATGGGGAGGGACTGCCCACTTCTCCCTCCCTGTTCACGTGAGCCCTGGCCATTCTGCCCAGCTCCTTGCAGCTGCACCAGCAATGGAGCAGAGGGGCTTTGCCCCCACAGCTATATCCTGCTGCTGGAGAGATGTGGGGCTGGTGGGGAGCAGCAAGGGAACTGTTTTGGTATCCACCTGGCAGAGGCTGCTGCCGCCAGCTCTGGTTCAGCAGGAGCTGCTGAGAGCCTGGTGTGGGGTACTGGGAATGTCTGGCAGGAGCCTGGATATAAAATCCTCTGTAGAGGTACTTTGTTTCTCAGGAAATTACATACAAATTCTCTTGATTGTTAATAAATTCACAGCATCTCTCTGAGGTATGTTTAGCAGAGACAGGGATAGGATCAGGGTTTGGCTCATCCTCTGCCAGAGCTGCTTTGTCTGGTACCAGGCCTTTCCCACAAGCAGTTTGCACAGCCATCCTCTCCTGAATTAAATGATAACTGAGGGGCAGAGAGGGAAAGAGGGCGTTTCAGCCTGCAGGAGATTGATGGCAGGTCAGCGAGGCCAACAGCAGCAGGAAGGTTTCCGCAGAAAGGGAGAGGAGCCCATGGATGCTGGAAGGGCTGATTCCAGCCTCACAGTGCCCTGGAAACTCTAATGAGCACAGCCTAGCCCGAAAAAGCATTTCCCTTTCCCAAATCCGGAAAAACAAACGGGAGTAAAATCTGTGTATTTGTTTTCATCTCCTCCCCTGAGCTGCGAATTGGCTTTAGGTTTATGCGATACATGTTTGTTTGAACGGTGATGTCCAGTGTCCCCGAGGGCTCATCCAGAGCGGATTTCTCAGCTCCTCCTGTTCATTTGCAGAATTTTTTTTTGCATTTGGGGCCAAATTTTCCGTGCTTGTGTTCTGCAGGGATGGAGGGGTGGGTTGGGGGAACCTGCTGTACAGGCCTGGGGCTGGTCCACGTGCTTCCTGCAGATTTCAGACACTTTGGCTGAGTAAGTTTTCCTCCTGACCTTGAAAGCTCATTTCTGTCACATCAGGATAATCATATTCCTTTCCTTACTGGTATATACTCTTCTGCTGGATCCAGAAGTAATAACAAACGAGCAGAGAAGATTATACCCCACGTGGACTCCGGATGCTTTGTCTGGGGCAGGAGAGGCGCGGGCTGTGTCCCTGGCCCCGGCGCAGCCCTGCAAGTGTCTCGCCTCTGGACGGGAAAGGGAAAGAACAAACAAAAACTGAGTGTAAAACTTGTGAGGCTTTGTCTGCCCACGCCAGGCTGCGCGGGGTTGTGCCGCACGGGGCTGTGGGGCATGGCGCTGCTGGAAACTGGTGGTCAGAGGGGTGGCTGGGCGGGTGAGGGCTCTGCCCGGCCCTGGCGTTCCCCTTCTCTCCCCAGGGGAGTTTTCCTCTGCCTCGGGGGCTGAGCTGCGGGGGGCTCCGAGGACCAAGCCCCAGAGGAATGCTGAGGGTTAGGGGGATGCCGGGCAGTGGGGACCACACCGGGACGCCGGCGGGTACCAGGGTTTGGAGAGCCCGGGAAGGGTGTGAGACCTCAGAGGGGTAATGGAGCTCCGGGAGAGGGATGCTGAGCCCCGGAGAGGGGATGCAGGGCACCGGGGAGGGCATGAGGGGAACCGGAAGGGTCGGGGGATGTGGGGCACTGGGCGATGAGGAGTCCCGGGAGATGCGGGACAGTGGAGGGCACACACCGGGACCCCGAGGGTGCAGAGCGGCGAGGGGAGGATGCGGCGCCCCAGGGGATGCGGGCCCTGAAGGAATGCGGGACCCCGAGGGCTGCGGGCCCGGGGGGCGCGGGGGGCCGGGAGGGTGCGGTGGCGGTGCAGGCCCCGCGCTCCCCTCCCCCGCCATGGGGCGGCGAAGGAGGAGGAGGAGGAGGAGGAGGAGGGGCTGCCCAGCACGGGCAGGGTTAAAGCGCCATGTAACCGGAGCGCGGGGCTGTCGGGGGCCGGCCGGGGCGCGGGAGGCGGCGAGCGGCGGCGCGGCCCCGCTGGACGGCGCGTCCCGCCACGGCGCAGGTGAGCGCTGGACCGGGGGGACCGGGGGGTCCGAGCTGGAGCCGCGGAACATCCTCGTGGGCGGCTTTGTTGTGCGTGGCGGCGGCGGGGGACAATGGGGCGGGCGGGGAGTCGGCACCGGTCGCACCGGAGCGCAGCGGCGGGAGCGCCCCGGCCGGTCCCGGTGCTCGCGGCTCGGACAGCGGGCGGTGGGTCCTGCCGCCACTTGTTGCCGGCGCTCGGCTCCGGGGCGTGTTGAGGGGATCGGTGCTCCTACAGCCCCGGGCATGCTCCCCCAGGTCCCGCCCACCCCTCCGGTCCCGTCGCAACTTTCGGAGTTTCCCGCAGCGGCTCCGCGAGCCCCGGGGGCGCGTCCCGGGACTGTCACAGCGGGGCCGGTGCGGGACCCCCCGCGACCCCCGGGGCCGGGCTGAGCCAGAGGCTGCGGCGGGAGGGTCCGCTCCCTGACACGGCGAGTGATGGCTGCGGGGCAGGGGGTGGTTCGGGGGGGCCGAGGTCCCCCTCCTCGGCTCAGCGGCCCCGGGCAGCGCCGCCTCCAGGCCGGGGCCAACTGCCGGGGGTACCGGGTCGCGGGTGGCGCTGCTGGTCGGGCCGAACACCTTTGTTTTCGGTTCTCGATCGGGGATCTGACAGCTCATCTCCCTTCTCTGTTGGCAGGAGAAGCAGCTCCCGGCGGAGCCTCAGGCGCGAAGCCTCCCCGGGGCCGGGCCGGAGGGACGGGACGGCCGGGGCAGGTACCGACCGGAGGACTCTGCTGGCATCCGCCTCCTGTCGAGCCCGGGGGGGAAGGTCGTGGCGCAGTAGAGCATTGGAGAAGGAGAGGAATGAACTTCAGAGTGGCCACAACGTGGGGCACAAATACCGGGAAGCCGGGAGAGGGGAGTGGCGGGGGGATTCCATGGCAAGTGGTGGTCCTGGGGCGAGCCGACCTCCTTCGGAAAGGGACAGGGGAAACAGGGGGCGGCTGGAACATGCTGAGCGGAGCAGCCCTCGCCTTTCCTGCTTAAGTTTCCAGAGAATTTTTAATGACCTGTGGGGGAGTGAGCCCGGGTATCCCAGTCCCGGCTCTGGGGCTGCGCGGGGCCAGGCAGGGGGGCGTTGGGGACGGCGAGGTGTCAGAGTCATGGCTTTACGTCCTCTTTTGCAGGGGGAAGATGAAGCAGTGACCGCTCCGGACAGAGGTCCCATCACCGCTGAGTGGGACCCACCTGTGCGCCGGAGCCCTCAATAGCTGCCAGCCCCACCCTCAACTCCCGGCCTGCAACTCCCAGCCCTGCCCGAAGGAAGCCCCTGCCCCACGCCGGGGGGCTCGGGAGGACAACGGGGCCCGGCCCGGCGGGATCCCACCGGGATGAGCATGGTAAAGAGCCCGGAGTGGCTGGAGCGGCGGTTGGCGGGGATAGTGGCTGTCCCGGAGAGGTCTCCAGCCTGGTCTACACTGGGAGAGGAGGGGCTGGTTTGTGTTTTGTTTCTTTTCTTTAGCCCAGCTTTGCTGAAAGGCAGCGGGGAGAGCCGGGGTGGGCGCCGAGGGCTGCGGGGGGAGCGGAGCGGGGCAGGAGGAAACCGGGGGAAATGGAGGGAAGTGCCGGAGCGGCAGAGCAGAGGGGCCAGGCACAGGAAGCGGGCAGGGGGAGCCTGCCCTTCGCCCCTTGCCCTTCCCAGCGAGCACATCTGCGAAATGGGCGCCTTTCTTACTGAACTGCCAACCCAGCAACTCCTTTCTTTCCAGGATTAGAGGCAAATGTTCGGTTTGGGGAGACTTAAAGGCCATTAGTGTGCGCTGCAGCCCAGAGCCAGCCCGGCCATTAGGGTCCTTTATTTCTTTTTGTTATTCAAACAGGGCTTGGGCGATGGCTCCATCCCAGCCATCAGCAAAGCTTCCCTCCAGCCTTTTGATATGCATGCCCCTGTCTGGAGGCAAAGTCCGCAACCTCCCCACCTCCTGGGGACACGCACCTGATAACAGGGCAGCCTGTTTTCCCAGCAAGGAAAACTGAAACCAGCCCAGGCCAGGCTGGGGGAGCAGCCCCGGGAGCTGGGGCAGGGGTCCAGTCCAGAGCACAGCCCGGCCAGGTGAGCCCTGCCTTCCCTGCCTACCCTGCCCTCTCTGCCAGGTGAGTCCAGCTGTCCTGCCCACTCTGACTGCTCTGCCTGTTCCAGGCTGGTTGGCAAGCACGGCCAGACAGGGACCAGAATTCTCTCTAAGCGGTTAATACTGTGGCATGGTCTTTAACCAGTCTGGCAAATCTTAAAGAAATTGGTATTGCAAAACGAGGGCGGGCTCCAGAGCAGCGGGTTCATTGTCTCCTCGGTGGGATTTGGCTGCAGGGCACGTCCTGGTCACCAGGCAGTGCCGGGGCTGCCGCTGGCGCCAGGCTCTCGGGGAGCTTTCGGCAACTCTGGAATTCTGTGTTGTTTTCCTCCTCGTGGGTTCCCATCTGGAGCGCATGGCTGTGGAGCACCCGGTGTGTTTGCAGGGCGCTGGGCAATGCAAACACTGCAGGGCTGGTCTCCTCCTCCCGTGAGACAGCACATGTTAGGGCAGTGCTCTGTTTCTTATTATTTTCGTAATGCCCTGAGTGCACATGTTGGTGTGTTTCTGCAGGGGAGGCGAGGACAAAGAGCCGAGCCTTCCTCCCGAGGAAGGGGAGGGTGAGCTCAGAAGGACATGGCTCCTGTGGGGGGACCCGAGGTGGGCTGTGAGCAACAGGCTTGGGTGTGTGGCTTCAGTGCTTGGTGCAAACGGCAGCAGTAGGAGGAGAAAGGATGGGAGTTACAGTCCTGCTGCATAGGTGTGGGATTTTGGGAAAGAGAGACTTTTAACTAACGAGCAGTTTGGGCCGTGGTGTGCTGCTCCTTTTCCCATCAGAGGATGGTGATGGGATCATCACCATCAGATGGTGAACTGATCTAGGGCGGTGCAGCTGGAGAAGGGCATGCAGCAGTGAGCTGACCTGCCTCTGCTCTGCCAGGGGGCAGTTCCTTCCAAAGGGAGAACTCCTTTCTCCCCCACTTTATAACTGGAACAAAGACGACTGTGGGAGCTCCCCGAGCACGTGGCAAAGCTGAGCTTGGTGTGTCAAGTGCTCAGTCCTGGTTGTGTCCCATTCCAGGAGAACCTGGCTGGTGTGCCACCCTTCCCTCTGCCACCTCCCTGTCACAGGGCTGGCGGGACACCACCCTTGCCTGGTGGCCTGGTGAGCCCTGGCCATGCTGGGCATCAGGCAGCCCTGGAGCTGAGAGAGGAAAAGACATTTTGAGGTGCAGGTTTGAACTTTCTGGGCTCAGGCTCCAGACACAGCACTGAATGCTGGGGTTTTCTGGGATTTTGAGGGTGCAGATGTTTGGCAGGGCTGGGCAGTGGCCTTGCCTGCTCCTGTCCTCCCTGAATCTTACCTGCCTCATGCTACCTCATCTGCCTGTCCTCTCTGAGTCACCCTCGTGCTGGGAGAGCAGCATATCCTCTCACACCTCCCTGTAGGGATTCCAAAGGGAGATGCACTATTTTTTGGTGAGTTCTGCGGGTTATGGTGGCAGCATCACTGCTGTCCGTGGCTGCTGCTGCTGCTCTGCAGCGTCTGTGGCCTGGGGAAGGAGAGCAGACCAGGGGGAGCCCACCCAGCTGTGCTGTGCTGGGGTGGATCACTGCATCTGGGGCCATGTGGGACCATCCACCTGGACTGGGGGCAGGGGGCGAGTCTGGGCAGCTCCCAGGAATTGTTCTCCGGGTCTGCAGCAGTGGGATTTCTGCACACAGAAATCCCCCACACAGCTGTGGGGGGGTTATGCAGCTTCAGGCTCTGTCTGGTGCAATTTCTCCCCTCCCTAGGTTGAGGGGGAAGGCAGGATGTGCACGGGGGTCTCTGCCTGTGGACGTGGGCGCTTGGACACCTGTTTTCCTTCGTGTTTGGGTGTTAGCAGGTTTTCTAACTCTGCCCTCGGCATCCAAAACATCAAACCCCAACTGGTCTTTGTTTGCCAGAGGTGCTGACAGATGATTTCAAAGCAGAAATCTCAATTGTTAGGGCCGTGGTTGGAGGCAATGCGGAGCGAGAGTGACGCAAAAGGGGCGGTGGGTCTCTCTGAGGCTGGGGGGGGTGTTGCTTTGGCTTCCTAAAAGGGCTGTAGGTGGGCAAAGCCCTGTGTGCTCCTCAGCTCTTGCGTTGCGTGCTCCTGAAATGACTGTGCTGCTGAAGGGGCAAGTTGCAGCACAGACCCATAGCCCAGCAATGAGGCAGCGTTGTTCGCGGCGGCCGGGTGCCTCTAGGAGAGCCGGAGCTTCCACTTCCAAAAACAGGATCCGGGGAGGGCACCCAAGGGAAGGCGGAGGCATCTGAGCTCAGGCAAGGGGAACCCCAGCTCTGCAGGGGGGACACCAGGGCAGGGGGTTCCGGGACACAGCCCTTTGCCCTGCCCCCTCGCCCTGGGGCAGGGAAGCTGAGCTGGGAGTGGGGGGCAGGAGGAGTTTTTCTCCCTTTAGGGGAGCTGAACTGGCTGCAGGCTGCAGGACTTTGCCCCTCATGGCGGGCGGGCTGCCTGCCTGTCCTGCTGCCGCCGGAACAGCCCACCCATGCCGGGGCAGCCGTAACACAGGGAGGCTGCTTCCCCGGGGGTGGGCTGTCCCCTGGTTCCTGCAGGGTGACAGGGAAGTGCAGCTCCCCTCCAGAGGGGGTCCAGCAGAGCGAGGTGGGGCTGGGCAGCACCGAGCGCAGGAGTGCTCCACAGCGTACGGATGGTGGGAAAAAGCCTGGTGTTCCCTAAAGATCTGTGGGTTGTGTCTGGAGCCTCTGTTAGCTGGAGCTGCTGGATCTTTAGGGCCACCACGTTTGCGGGGAGGTTTTGCCCAAGTGCTGTATAGCTCCTGGTACCCCCTCCAGATGCGTCTCCAGTCAAACCCCTCTGCTAAGGGCGTGAAGTTGTGGCTGGCTCTGCTTGGCCCTCCTTGAGTCTTCCTTCGTGGCTGAATTTCCTTTCCACTCTGGCTTCCACAGGCGACCATGAAACAGGACAAGAGCCACGGGCAGGATGAGGCAGACTGCAGGGCAAAGCTGATCCTCCTCAACGGGGGCTGCACCAATCCCGCTACACCCAGCGTCGTACTGGAGGCGAACGGGAAGCCCGGTACTCCAGGTGAGGCTCACCACGGTGTGCCCAGAATGTACCGTGCCTGGGATGTGCAGGGATGGCCTGGGATGTGCAGGGATGGCCTGGGATGTGCAGGGATGACCTGGGATGTGCGGGGATGACCAGGGTTTGGAATCTCCCAGCCACTGTCCAGTGGCTTTGCAGGGGGGGGGGCTGCAGTTCTGCAGCCATGGCCAGGGTCCCTCTGTGGCTCCGCTGGGTTTCTGCACATCCAGGCCATGATGTGGCTGTGGAAATGGGTGCCACAGTGGGAGGCTGGCTCTGCCCCTTGATAGTTGAAGCCCCTGGAGCAAGGGAAGAAGGGGCGTCCCACCAGCCTGAGGGGTTCCACTGCTCCTGGGATGTTCCAGTCTGGGGTTCCCAACCCCCACCTCTTGGGTAAACAAGGTCCTGCTTTAAATGACCTGGTGACAAGCCCTGAACAGCTGGCTTGTGTCCCTGAGCTTTCAGGAACGAAGCAGTAGGTAAGAACGGCACCACACTTGCTGCTGGTCCCTCCCAGTTTTGGGGACAGGAGGGTGATAATCCAGGGGTGCAGTGCCACGATGGGGAGCCCTGGGAACACCACTTGTCTCTGCTCCCAGCCACAATTCTTCAAGATAAGATTTTGGTCTCTCCAAATCATGTCATGCTCTGGGGAGCAGTGGGAAGCTGGGGCACATGGGAGCATGGCCAGGAGGGCTCACAGAGACTAAAGCTGCTCTGCCTTGTCCCTGCACAGATCCCACAGACCTGGAGCTGCTGCCTCTGGAGAACAAGAAGGACAGCAATGGAGACCTCTCCAAGGAGGACCTGGCCTGGCCACTTGGCCTGGCGCGGGTGCAGAAGGTAAGATATGACCCAGACTGCTTTTCAGGGGCCGTCTGTGGGGACATCCAGTGCCAGAATCCTTATCTCTGGGCTGTTCTTGTCCTCAGTGCTGGGGGAACAGTCCAGTGGAGGATGCAATACTGATTTACCAGAGTAATACTGTAATTTTTAAATTCCTGATTTACATGAGACCACAGCAGCAGGAGGGGGTGCTGTGGGGTGCAGTGATGCCCACTATGTGTTGCAGCAGCCTAATAATTATCATAATTATTATGCTGATATTTTCTTGTCTGTATTGATGGACTGAGCCATCTCGTGTCTCCTGCTCTTGGGCTGGGCTGCTTTTAGCTGCCTTGGGGCTGCACCCCAGTTTTACCCACCCTCTTTTGTTGACTAGGTTGACAAACCTCCAGGATCTGGAAGCATTTTTGCCTGCTTGCTTTATTGTTTTGAGTTAGAAACAAAACCCAAGGTTGGAGATCTGCCTGAGACAAGGCAGCTTCCAAAAGAAAGAGCCATAAATCCAGTGGGTGCAAATTCAGCTTTCCCACTATGTCTGGTTCAGGGGCTCTTCCCTGCAAAATCTGATTTAATTTTGAGCCTCGCATGTGCCGGATGCAGGAAACATGCCTGGGCCGGACTGTGTCTGTGACTGCTGGGGAAGGGCTGCCCTGGGTGCTGCTGCGGGGCCAGCTGTGAGAGGAAGCACTCACGGGTGTGTGAAGGCATCCATGGGTGTGTGAGTGGGTCTGTGCCTCGGATGGGTTCTCTGCTGGGGCCTGTGGCTCTCCTGGCATCCAGTGCTCCTGGCTATGGCTCCCGCTGCTGTCGGCCCTGCCAGATGCAGGGCTGCAGCAGTGGGTGCTCCCGAACCCTGCAGAGATGCTGTGCCGTGCAGGGTTGCCCAGAGGGGCTCAGCATGAGGTGCCCTCCCCTTGCCCTCCCCAGGGCTCCAGTGCCGCTGGTGCTCGGCCCCATGAAGCACAGGCTGTTCCCCACAGGCTGTCCGTGTCCTGCGTGGGGAGGGCACCTCTCTGTTGTGGTGGCAGCTGCAGCCCCGGGGCAGCGCTGGGTGGGAGAGCAGCCTCAGGCAGAAGCCCACAGTCCACCTCATCTTCCAGGCAGGGCAGGCCCGGCACAAGACGAGGGTCAAGGATCGAAGCAGCGTGGAGACTCTCAGGGACCTGCGAACTCCTGTGCGGGTGAGGGTTTGTGGGTCTGTGTGGCTTCCCTGGGGCTTCCCTGGGGCTCCAGAGACCTGCACTCCTGCTGCTCCCTGGCCAAGCAGCTTTGAACGTGGTGCAGCCTCTCAGGGCCTTGGTTTCCCCTGTGTAGATAGGAGTGAGTGTGCTGTTTTTTGCCCCTTCTATGAATTGGGTGTGCTGAACACCCTGGAGTGGATTTGGGAGGGGAAAAGTGGTGTGTCATTTGCTCTGGGTCTGACAAGTAAAAGCTGAGCAGTTCTTCTGCGGAATCTCCTCTTAAGGGCTCCCCTCTCTGCCCATAGCAGCAGCAGTGCCCTCAGTCACTGGCTCCCCCTCTCCAATCCCGACTGTGAGGCTGGGGGATGATGTGGGGCAGGTCTCTGTTCCCCACTGCCCCTCTCCCTGTGGCACTGACGCTCCTCTCCCTTTGCCACGCAGAGCTCCAGGCGTCGCTCAGCCGTGTCCACACAGCTGATCATCGACCTGACGGAGGAGGACTCCCGGGACTCATCCCAGAGCAGCAGCACACTCTCCGGCAGCAGCTCCCAGGAGGGGCAGAATGGCTCTGCTGAGCTGGGGGCCGAGGAGTCAGAGAGCAGAGACGTGGGGATGGCATTGGAATACCAGGTACGGACGGGCTGAACTCTGCTCCTGCACCCAGGATGCTGCGGGGCGAGGATGAACCTCCCTGGCTTGTACCGAGCCTGCAGGCGTGGGGAACCTCTGGAAACCTCACTGCTGCTTCTCCTGTCTCCCCTTCCCTGCCTGCCCTTCCCTGTGTGGCTGGGGCGTGATGTTCTCAGGCTGTGGGGCAGCTTACTGCCAGCAGACACTTTGGGGATCAGTCCTGGCAAGCTGCCATCGGTGCCACACACGGGCCCCCCGCGACACGCATGCGTGGCATGTGCCCTGCCGTGCTGTGCCCCGCTGAGACAGGCAGTTGCTTGTGCAGAAAACATTTCTGTCGGGGATGCTGGAGAGAACTGAAGCTGCTGGGGCTGCAGAGCGGGATTCGGCGCCTGCGGGCCACAGGGCAAGGCCCCAGACTTGCAGGGGTTGGGCAATTGCATCTTGCTGCATAATTAGGTGCCTAATTGCAGAACAAAGCTGGAAAGGAGGGCTCTGCAGGCGGAGGTGACTCCGCTCTGTGCGAGGTGCCCTCCCCATGTGCAGCACCCAGCGTGGCCCTCCTCAACGGGTCACACCAAAACTTTTGGTTCTTCTTTTTCATCTCTCTGTTGTCACTCTGCCCTGTTTCTTGCTCTCTCCAGTGGGAACAAGAGAGAGAGGGGTGGGTGGGTACCCTCCCCCTGGGCTACAGCCAAATGGGCTGAGCTATGAGCCCTGTGAGCTAAGGAGGAACCCCATCTGCTCGGGGCACCCTGGGAGCAACCTCGGGGCAAGGCTTCCCAGCGTTTGCAGAGACCCTGGGAGGGCAGGCAGGAGTGGACATGCACAGGGCCTGGTGCCAGGAGGGCTGTGCAGGACAGAGCACGCACCATGCCGTGTGCCAGGCATGGGCTCAGCGTGGGGCTGGCACACACAGCCCTCCCCACTGAGCTCTGTCGTGGTGCAGGGCTGGGAGCCAGTGCTGCCAGGAGGTGCTGGGCCATGTGCTCGAGGGAGGGGGTGCAGCCTGTCTGCACAGACATCCATGCGCGTAACACACGTGGCAGAGCAGCTCTTCAAGGTGCTTTGGGCTCTGCTGCAGAGCTGCCCAGATGAAATGGGGCGTTTTGTGCTTTTGGCAGACCTGTGTTGTCATCTTTTGCTTTCAGGATGGGAAGGAGTTTGGAATTGGGGAGCTCGTCTGGGGGAAGATCAAAGGTTTCTCCTGGTGGCCTGCGATTGTTGTCTCCCACAAAGCCACGGCCAAGCGCCAGGCTGTGTCAGGCATGCGCTGGGTGCAGTGGTTTGGAGATGGAAAGTTCTCCGAGGTAAGCCTGCTGGCTGCCCCTGCCTGCTGTGCCAATCCCCAACCCCCCTCCCCTGCACATTTCATCCCCACTCCTGGGGCTGCCTGGGGGGTGTGTGTGTGTGCCCTGCAGCCTCCCTGGGCAGGCACCCTGGTGTTCAATAGCCAGGCCTTGGCAGGCTCTCAAGGCTCTGGTGTCTGTAACTAATGGATGGACACTGTAGGTTGGTAACAGTATCCGGCAGTGGGAACATATGCCTGGCCCCTACACAGGGTTTTATCCAGGCTTTGGGCTCCAGGGCTGCTGGAGCACCCTCCTGGTGTGGGATGTCCCATCAGAGACCCATCACCCCCTGCAAATTCAGAATATCCTGAATTGGAAGGGACCTATGGAGATCATTGAGTGCAACTCCTGACCCTGCTCAGGACAACCCCGAAATCCCATTACGTGCCCAAGAGTGTTGTCCAGCTGCTTCTTGAGCTCTGACAGGCTGGTGCCGTGACCACTCCCCTGGGGAGCCGGCTCCAGGGACGACCACCCTCTGAGTGAAGAACCTTTTTCTAATATCCACCCAGGACACCCAACCCCTCCCATGCTGCAGGCGGGAGGGAGGGAAGTGCCGTGCTGGTGTCACTCTGCTGGCAGTGCCAGCAGAGGGTGCAACCCACCCAATCCTCGTCATGCTGCTGCTGGGCTTCCTCCCCTGGCTGCTGGGAATGCAGTGCCGGAGGGGAAATGGCTGGGCAGGGCATTATCCTGTGCTGTCCCCCTGGTGAGCTCTTGTCACTCTCCCACAGGTTTCTGCGGACAAGCTGGTGGGACTGATGGCCTTTAGGCAGCATTTCAATTCTTCCACGTTCCATAAGCTGGTCTCCTACCGCCGTGCCATTTACCATGCCCTGGAGGTAACCACCAGGGGTGGGGGGGTGGGTGAGGTGCCAGCTAAACCAGCTGGACTTTGAGGCAGTGGGATGTGACTCAGGAAAGTAGTCCTTTCTCTGCTAGGATTATTTGCAAGTGCAGCCATGGGGCCAAACTCTGCTTATTATGGGGGTTCAGGGGGAACTGCTGCTGCTCCAGATCCCCAGGCCAGTGATGCTGCGCTGTCTCAGACATGGCAGCATCACAGCAGCAGGGCAGTGCCAGGCTGGCCAGAGGTGTCCTGGGCCAGTGCCAGGTGCCCTTTGGAGTCAGAGCTGGTGCTGAGCACCCCATGTGTCCAATTCCCATCCAGGGGATGCATCGCACACCGGGATAAAGGGCTGCAGATCCGCAGGCACCTCTTCTGCCTTCCTGTCACTTACCAGGGAGCAGAGTCTGGGCAAGAGTTAGAACTGGGCTGTCCCTGTTCCTGGGAGGTTGGTGATGGATGGATAGGCTCATTGCAGGGATGGAGGCACCAGAGCCCAGCCGAGGGCACACCCAGAGCAGGAATCCATCAGCTGCCGCCATCCCAGGGCTGCCAAACCCCACACCCGTGTGTGTCGGATGGGGAGAGGGCCTAGGCTGTGGCCCTGGCAGGGGTGTGGCTGCTCCCCAGACAGAGACCACCCCGTCACTCTGTCCCACGCTGTCCATTCTCGGCAGGTTGCCCGGAGCCGGTCGGGGAAGACGTTTACAACTGGCCCCAGGGACTCGATGGAGGAGCAGCTGAAGCCGATGATTGACTGGGCAATCACTGGCTTCAAACCCCTGGGACTCAAGGGACTGCTGCCACCCAAAACCTCAGGTGAGACAGTGGCATCAGCTGGCTGGGGGCTGGCATGGCACTGGCAGGGGAGGCTGGTGTGGTCAGCAGCCACCAGTATCTGGCCCTGGCTGAGCCTGCTCACCCTGTGCTGTAGCCGTGCCAGTCTGGTCCCAAAGTGGTCCTGGGGCTTCTCACTGGGTCCCTGATAGTGATGTTGCAAAAAGGCCAGAGCAAAGCACTCTCCATGCCCTTGCTCCTGGAAATCTGACTTGGCTGAGCCTTGTGCTATGAGTGGGGAGCCCGGGTGGCCAGGAAGGGTCCTGCTTATGGCTGGGGTGGGATCTGAGAGGGCTTGACAGGAGATGTCTCCCGTTGCCCTGGGGTGGTCCTGGGGCTGGAGGCTTGTGCCCAGAGAGCTGCCTTTCCCTTGCAGAGAATGGGGTGCTGAGGAATGGGACAGAGGAGGTGCTGTCCCATGAACAATGTCCCCCCAGCAAGAGGTTGAAGAGCTACACCTTCAACAATGGCAAGGAGCAGCGAGTAGAAGAGGACCAGACTCGAGGTAACCAACAGAGAGAGCTGGGGAGTGGCATGGCCTGGGCTGTGCACCCTGAGAGCGCTGGAAAACCATTCTGGGAAAGGGGTTGGCTCTTCCCTGGTGTCCATGAACTTGGTTCCTGAAGGCAAAAGCTTTTGTGATCCCATGGTGCTCAGTTGTGCCTTATTAGACACCAGCAAACCCAGCTGCTGGGCTCCACTAATGGCTCAGCTTGGGTATTATCCATGAGCTGCTATGCTGAGCTCTAATATCTCCTTCAGTGAAAGGATTTGGGTTTTGCCCCAGAATTTCTAACCTTCTCCATGTGATGCTCATCAAAGCTGGAGCAGTTCTAAATGCAAGGAAAAAAGGCATCTGTAAGCAGAATTCACTTAAAGTTTCTAATGTAAGGAATGATAAAAATTTCTGTTTGTTTTTTTTTTTTTTTTTTTAATTATAAAGAACAAATGGTTTCTGAAGTTACGAAGAACAACGGGAAACTGGAAGGTAATCACTGGTCCTGTCTCCCTTGGGAAGAGCTGTGGGGTGATGGAGATTCTGGCTGGCAGTGCTCAGCAAGGGCCTGTGGGTTCCTTTTCAACAGCACCATCTCAGAGGGGGGACAGTGCTGTGAGTGCAGGGTGCTGGGGTCCCCCTGTGCTGAGGGGAACAGGGTGCTGTGCAGATCCTCCATGGGGAGCCACAGCCGCATCCGGATGAGGTTCCAAGGGCAGACCCCATTCGGATGCAGTTCCAAGGGCAGGCTCTATCCAGGCACTGTTCCAAGGGGAGGCTCTGCAGCCTGAAGTGGGGTGGGGGTTTGGGGACTCCCTGCCCTGATGTCTCCGTGCCTTGGATGAACGTAGCTCTGCCTGTCCCACAGACAGCTGTTTGTCCTGCGGGAGGAGGAACCCGGCCACCTTCCACCCTCTGTTCAAGGGAGGCCTCTGCCAGACGTGCAGGGTAAGTGCTGCAGTGCTGGGGCTGGAGGATGGGGCCATGGTTCAGGCAGTGTTGCTGGGACAGGGGGTGGCTGTGCCAGGTCCTGGCCACGCTGTGTCCTCCACGGGGCTGTCCCTCGGCATGTTCTTGCCACCTGGAACACCAAGGATGTGCATCTCCGAGCTCTGGGCGGGTACCAGGGATGGACCAAAGCTGCATTATTTCTTCACTCTCTGAGCACAGCTCCTGATTCTGTGTCCTTCTCTTCCTGGCTGTCCTTTCACTAGGATAGATTCCTGGAGTACTTCTACATGTATGATGAAGATGGTTACCAGTCCTACTGTGCTGTCTGCTGCGCGGGCAAGGAGCTGCTGCTCTGCAGCAATTCCAGCTGCTGCAGGTGGGCCCTGTGTCTCTGCTGCTGGGGCTGTGGCCCTGGCATCATTCTTGGGAGCTGTGGGGAGCAGGATCCTGCATGAGCCTGGACGCAGGGGCTGTGCTGTTCCCCAGCTGGCTGCCATGCAGCACGTCCCAGCACAGCTTACCTCTCCCTACTGAGCCAGGCAGCACTTGAATAAGCCTTGGGGAGGTTGGCAGGAGATTTATCTATGCCTTGGGTCACTGGCTTGTGTTAGCAGCGCTAAAACCCAAAGTGCTGCCTGGAAAAACATCCTGTTAAACAGACCAGGGGCTCTGGTGCATGGCAGGGGAGATTCCAGGAGAGGCCGAGGTGACCCACAGGGGTCCCTGAGGTGACAAGCACGAGGTGTTGTGGTTTGGGCAGGTGCTTCTGTGTGAAGTGTCTGGACGTGCTGGTGGGGCGAGGGACGTCGACCAGAGCAAAAGTGCAGGAGCCCTGGAACTGCTACATGTGCTCGCCCCAGCAGAACTACGGGCTGCTGCAGCGCCGGCAGGACTGGAACGCCCGTCTGCTGGACTTCTTCACCAGTGACAAGGGACAGGAATACGTAAGGGCTGTGGGCAGGGAGCCTGGCACGCTGGGGTGTGGGGAACAGGGTCACGAAGGCCAGGGCAAGCAGCTTGGAATGCCTCTTCCCTCTGCCTCGGTCTTGTTCATCTACCCTCTCCAAGGGTTATGGGCTCTTGGCCCTGCAGATGCTCTCCTGAAGGGAGGGGTGATGCCTGCAGAGCTGAAATTTGGCATCATAAGGCGATGCTGCACTGCCATGGCTGGGGCTTCATGGCTGTTTCCATTTCAGGCTGCACCCAAAATCTACCCAACAGTCCCGCCAGCAAAGAGGAGACCAATCCGAGTGCTCTCGTTGTTTGATGGGATAGCGACAGGTGAGGCTGTAGGAAAGCACTGCCTGGTGGCTTTCCAGCACTGGGAATCGGGGATGAATCATTCCATGGACTCAAACCTATCTCTAAAAGTTTGCTGTGGAGAAGGGGGTGAAGACAGGAGGGATCCCCATCTGCAGGGATGAGGGCAGGGTCTCCCTTTCCTGCTGGAAAGGGCTGTGGAGAAGGGAAGGGGTGGATGGAAGGAGGGAGGGAGTTTTGCTCACAGAGGTTCAGGTGGTTGGTTCCCCTGGGAAGCCAGAGCAGTGGGAACAACAGTAACCTGGCCTCTGGTGAAATGCCTGAGGGCAACTGGTTTGGCTCATTTCACTCAGCTCTGCCATTCTGCTCTCTGGGAGCAAACAGTGCCTGGAGGAATGGGTCAAAAAAAAAGTTTGCTCACCCTGAAGTCCTGTGTGACTGCCCCCACCTAGGACATCCAGGAGCGGCCACAACGAGCTCTGCTGACGAAGGAGACCGGGAGGCCAAAGAGAGCAGTGCCACCTCAGACCTCTGTCCGTTGGCAGGGTACATGGTGCTGAAGGACTTGGGCATCCAAGTGGAGAAGTACATCGCCTCGGAGATCGGCGACGACCCCGTCGCGGCGGGCACCGTGCGGCCCGAGGGCAACATCACCTACGTGCACGACGTCAGGAACATCACCAAGAGAAACGTGAGCTCCGCTTCCGTGGGGAGCCCGGGCCGTGTGGCACCACGGGGGTGTTGGGTCTCACCCCCCCAGCCCTGGGATGGGCTTGTCCCCTATCCCACCAGGAATGAGAGACGCGCTTCCGTGGCATTTCCTAATGGGCTGGTCTGTCTGTTCGCTGCAGATTGAGGAGTGGGGTCCTTTTGACCTGGTGATCGGTGGAACCCCCTGTGACGACCTCTCCCTTGTCAATCCAACCAGGAAGGCGCTGTTTGGTAAGGCTGCTTTGCCTCTGCTGGGCTGGGTACCCCGGGGTGTTCCTGGGTCATGGGGCCACCTTTCAGCCCAGGGAAGTGTTTCAGCCCCAGGCTGTGTTGGTGGTGGCTCCCTGTGGCACCATGCTGTTTCCATGCCCATTGTGGCAGCCAGGCCCCCGCTGGCACCCCATTCCCAGCGCCTCAGCTGGTCCCAACCTGCTGCTCTGCTTTTTCCCTGCAGAAGGAAGCGGGAGGCTGTTCTTCGAGTTCTACCACCTGCTCAACCACGCCCGTCCCAAGGAGGGCGAGGAGCGGCCCTTCTTCTGGATGTTTGAGAACGTGGTGGCCATGAGGGTCAACGACAAGAGGGACATTTCCCGGTTTCTGGAGGTAGGGGTTGCTGCTGGCTGTGGGAAAGGCGTCAGAGCGGGTACAACTTGCTGGGCTGTGCGGGGTATGGCAGCTCTGAGGGTCTGGCTGTGAGTTTCCCGTGGCCTCAATGCTGGAAAACCCCCTGCCTGGTGCACATGCCAAGGAATCAAGTTTAGTCTTGGCTCTGGATCCTCCCCTCTCGCTCTGAGCAGGTCATACCCAAGCACTAGTCCTCCGGGGGAGGGGTTTTGCCAGCCTTGCAGAAAGCATCTGCTCAGAGCAATGCCTGTTATTTCCAGGGAGAGGGAGGTCAGGGAGTGGGAAGGATTTTTAACTCTGTGGTAGCCAGGATGGGCTGCGAGTCAGCAGGGACCCCGGTGTAAAAGCCCAATCAGAGGCTGACAGTTCTGATCCTGGCCCAGGGGAACCAGCACTGAGCACCCTGTGATGGTCATTAGCTGCTGGCCATGGCCATGACCTGGGAGCCCATGTGGCCAACCAGGATGTGCCGTGGTGTGGGACAGGATTTGTGGGGGCTACATCCTTAGGAGAATTTGCTGGAGACTTTTAAGTCCCTGCAGTGGAGTGGGAAGGGCTTCTCCTGCAGGAGAGGACTAAACCCAAATCTCCTTTAACTTTTATTTCCCCCCTCTCTGCCCACCAGTGTAACCCAGTTATGATTAATGCGATCAAGATATCAGCTGCCCACCGAGCTCGTTACTTCTGGGGCAACCTCCCGGGGATGGACAGGTAATCAATCAGTCCTTTGCTGTCCTCTTGAATCTCTCGCTGTAGTTTTTGTTGGTTTGTGCTGCTCATGGGGGGTTTTTTTGCCTCCCTGGCTCAAAGCCCAGCTCCTGGGAGCGAGGAGCTGCAGCTCCCGCACGGGGCAGCTTCCCTGCAGTGATGTGCACATGATAATTAATGCACTTACTAATGAGCTATGACTGTGGGAAAAGTGTAGTAGCGTCCTATGCCCTGGACCTGAGGCATGTGGAAGGAAGAATGATGGGGCTTGCACAGGCTGCTGTGTGGTGGGTCTGGCTGGGGGTGCACACGTGCCCCAGCCTTGGTGTAAGGCCCAGGCTGATGTGGGGGTGCTGTATGGCAGCCCTGTGCCCCGTGCCGTGGTTGGGGGTTGCTGGAGGTGAACCAAGCAGCCACTGAGGCTCAGCTGGGTGTGTAGTGGCATGGGGACACTCACATTGTAGCAGGCAGCTGCTGAGGCACAGCATGGCAGCACTGCGCTTCTCCAAACCCTACTCACACTCTGAATTCATGGCAAAAAAGCATCAGAAGGACTTGGAGTAGATAAAATCCAACTGGAGTAGTCCTGCACACCAAATATTCCTAGTGACAACCTGAAGTTTTTGCATAGTGGATGCTTTGGCCCAGTAAACACAGGCTGGGGTTAAAGTATTTTTGTTTGTTTATTTAAATTGCCAGTATTTGTTAAAGTTAACACTGAGCTAAAGGCATTTGAAAGTAAAATAACAATTTCCTGAGCCTTTGTCATGTGAAATGGCTCTTGGACTTTCATCTGATTGTTCTGGAAGTGCCCAGCCCCTGACTCAGAGCTACCCAGAGCTACTCAGTCCTATCTCCACGGAGCAGCCTGGGGCGATGCTTGCAGAGGTGCTGCTGAGCAGAGGCAGGCAGGAATGCCACTGGCACAGGGCTTCTCCAAAAGCCTTGCCAGGAAAAGCTACAGAGGGCACAGGGGAAGGTGGGCTGGCACTGCCCATCCCCGTTCAGAATAGTGGTGACACTGCTCAGGCCACGTGGGGCTCTGACCATGCTGGGGAGCAGAGCGCCCTTCCCCTAGGAGATTCCAGATGCTCTGGTGTCTCTGGCCGGCTCGGGAGCAGAGCTGGCCGGCAAAAGGGACCCCTCCTTCTGCTCTGACCCACCATCTCCTGCCTCTGCCCTTCAGGATCTTCGGCTTCCCCCTCCCCTACACGGACGTCTCCAACATCGGCCACGGGGCTCACCAGAAGCTGCTGGAGAAATCGTGGAGCGTGCCGGTCATCCGGCACCTCTTCTCCCCGCTCAAGGATTACTTTGCCTGTGAATAGCAAGCCGAGCATCCCTCCTCTCTCTGGTGAAGGTGCACGGCGCGGCTGCTGTGGCGGGAGAGGGACGGGCACGGCTGCCAGACTGCCACAGCCCCCTCCCTCCCCGGCCACGCGCTGCAGGACGGCGGCCTGGCCCCCGCAGGGAAAGTGTCTGTAACCAAAGAACCTGGCAGGGTCACTTCTTTAAAGGGACTAACAGGCAGTGATAGGAAATGATGGACAAGGAGCTTTAATTACCCGGCATGCAGGAGCTCTGTGCATCACTGATGAGACGGGGAGTCTCCTCCACAGCATTAACTCTTCTGGTTTAGCCTGGAGCTGGGAAGTCACCACTTGCTGAGCAGTCAGTGTGGGGGCAGCTGCCAGGGTGCTGCAGGCAAACCTGAACTACGGTGAATTACTGCTTTTCCTAAACAAACAAAACCTCTTGAAGCAACTGCCAAAAAACCCCCAAACCGTAGCAGCAGGTGTAGGGGACCCTGCTCTGGTTACACACTGAACACAGGATCATACAGAAACCAAATCTTTTTTATTTTTATTTTTTTTTATAAACTTTAATTTTGTTGTTCTAATGTCTGTTGCTGCTTTTAAGGCATTACATAAGAATGTGGAGATTCCTAGACCTGAATGTAGCTGAAACCGAACTGTGAGGTGATAGAATTACTTTTCTAGCTAGAACTAAAGAAATACTGGTTTATATGTTTTGGCTGTAGTTTACAAATATTCACTACTTCCTTTTTGAAGCATCTAAAACCTTTCCTTACGTTTTGCAATCCTGCTGAGTGGTTTGAAAGCTTACACAGTAATTGGAGCAGGGAGGATTTGGGCTCCAGTGTCTGTAAAGGAAAATGTTCTTGGAGCATCCATTTCCCAAATGTCAGCAGGCAGGACAGCATAGTGGTCAATGGCATCCTCAAACCTCAGCCCTCCCTAAATGTCACGTACTGTGTCATGAACCCCAGCAGTGTTGGCAGGGTGTTGGCTGTGGGGCAGGGGGTTCCTTGTAGGGAAAATCCCACCTGACCCCCTGTGGGGGTGCAATGTCCAGGAGTGCAGCACTCACTGCTCTTATCTGTGCCCATCCTGTGCCAGACTGATTATCCCGCTGTCCACGAAGCCCTGGGCATGCTGTGCCCACAGCCAGCATGCAGGGAGGTGTGGGTGCCTGCCACCATTCCTGCCAGGTTACCCCCAGCCCCTGGGCTGCTGCCTCAGCAGGCTTCTCTAAAGACTCTGAATCCCAATGCACATTTCAATGCACTGAAACAAGTTGTGACATTCCCCTCTCCTCTGTCCTCCCCTACCTCTGCTGTTCACCTGTCACCTGGCTCTGGCAGAGCCCTTCAGTGCCTTCTCAAAATTACCTGGGTCCAAACCATGGGCCATCCTGCCCCCCTGATCGATGCCAGGCTGTCTTGCAAGGTGTTGTACAGCGTCACTGGGAAGTGAGAGCCTCTCTCCCAGCTCCTTCTACCTCTCTGACACTCTGGGACCTCCTGGCACCCCTGTCCCAGGTGGTGGAGGATGGCAGCCTCCCATTTTCCACTCTAGTGAGCACCTTCCCGCCCCAGCTCTGAGGACCAGTTTCTCTTGGTCTCCACCCCAAGGCTGTACTTGGGAATGGGCAGAAAAGGAAGCCCAGGTAGTTTAAAGGTTTTTTTTTTTCCTGTTTTAACCTGGAGGTTACTCTTTATGTCTTGCTTGAGGGGTTCATTCTCCATGACATGTGCTCAAGCTGCACATCTTAGTTAAGAAGACGCTGTAGAAAGCCAAGTGAGGTGCTCCATGTCACTTCTTGGGGGACATGCAGCACTGTTTTGTCACCTGCCCCTGGGCTGGGAAGATGGCAGGGTGGGTTCTGTGCATGCTGGAGGTGTTTGGGAAGCCTTGGCATTGCCACTGCCGCGCCAGTTGGTTTTGGACCACTCACCAACCTCTGATCCTTGTTTCCAGCTGGAGCCCAGCCACAACACTAATTCCTCATCCCAGCTCCTTGGAGTCCCCGTTCAGAGCCCAACATGGTGCCTGTGAGTGACAGGCGTGCTCTGCTCTGGACCCCTCTGACGGGTTTGATTTTTCCAAACTGAGCAAACACATGTCCTCCACTCCACAGCATCCCTGATCTTGTACTCCAGATCTCACATCCTTTCCTATCTGATCAAAAGGAAAACAAATAGATGAGGGAAACAAAAAAAGGACTTGGGGAAAGTAAACAAAGATAAAAGAGGAATGAGAATTGTCTTGGCATTAAGCTCACTTGATGAGAATTGTAGTAGACAAGTCTTCCTTGAAATGTTTTTCCCTGTAAGAGTTGCCTTTTATTATGTGTTTATAAAATGTTGTTAAGGGAGGGGGATTTCAGAAATGCCTTTTTAATACTTTTTAAAGGTTTCTGACTCCCTGGTGCTATTTTTTTAGGTTAAGGATTTTTTTTGTTGAACATGTTGCGGGTTTTTGTACAATCTTCTAAAAATGAAAGAAGTGTATCATTTTGAACACATTTTACATGTTTGTTTTTTTTTTTTGTATCTGGAGTGTGGAAACTCCCAAGTTTGCCTTGTCCACATGATTCCACTGTTTTCCACGTGGGAAAGAAAGGGGATCCATGTTGGCAGTTTACCGTTTATCACGTTTGATTAAAAAGAAGTATTTCTGTATGGCTGGACCATTTTTATTGGGTGGAAAAAAGGGGGTTCAGGGCAGGAGGAGGGGCAGAGCTGGGGAGTTGGAATGTCCCTTCCCCACTGCTGCTGAGGTCATGCCCAGTGACACCAAGACATCAGGCCCTGGCTGTGCTGGGTAGGTCGGGCTGTAGAGGGGAGTCTGATCCCTGGCTGGGCCAGGAATCAACTGCAGCTACTCAGTGAAGATGTAGCCTGTCCCAAATGGGGATAAAACGTAATAACCTTCCGCTACACCAGGTTGTTCAAAGCCTCATCAGCTCTGACCAACACATAGTTACGGTCAGTCCATTGCTTTTAACGCCAAGGTTGTTTTTCCAGAATATTTGAAATCAGCACCTCACTATCCAAAGATCTGGTGAACCAGTGAGGACTCAACCATGAAATAAGCAAGGCATAATAATTTCCCTCACCCTGACTTCTCAGCTTTTACCACATAACTGAAAACAAATGTGTGTCTTACAAGTTCAGAGCCATCCATCCACGAGACGGATTGCACGGGCGGGCGGGCGGCAGCAGGACTGCACAATTCTACCAGTTCAGAAAAAATGCCCTTCAGAAACTTCAGATTGGAATACAAGAGCCCATCAGTCTGGGCTGGGCTGTGCTGGGGTCTGGTCCTGGTTGTACCGGGTGGTCGGTACTGGGTGGCTGGTACCGGGTGGCCGGTGCTGGCTGTATTTGGGGTTCGGCACCAGGTGGCCGGTACTGGCTGTTACCAGAGGTGGGTACTGGGGGGTCGGTCCCGGCTGTACCCGGGGGGGTCGGTCCCGGTCCCCCGCGCCGCTCCCTCGTCCCCGATCCCCACGCGACCCCCCGGGCACGCGGGACCCCTCGGTGTGGGCGGGGCCACCGGCTCCGCCAATGGCGGGCGGGCCCGCGGGGGCGGGGCAGGAACGGATGGGCGTGGCCTTTCCCCCATAGCAACGCGGCTGTTGGCCCCGCCCCTTAGCAACGGGCCCCCGCCCCTTCCTCCCTCTTTCTGCCCGGCCCGTCCCGGCGCGCGGCTCTCCCCGCGCGGGGGCCGTGACGCGCGCGTGACGCAGGCGCGCAGCGAGCGCGTGACGCGGTCCCGGTGAGGGCGGGCGGGGCCGGTTTGAACGCGGGGCCGACGGGGCGAGCGCGGCGCAGGTAC